GCTGAGAATCTACCTTTTCAGGCAAAGACCTAGATTATCCTTTAATGAGATCACAGATTTCATTTGTGTATCAAGAAAAGGTCATCTCTGTATTAGAAGAACTACAGATAGAAGGTAAGTTCAGGACTGTGAACAAGGGGACTTTTGTAGGGGGAAAATGATTTTAAAAATGTTATGTTAGTTTTTTTTTTTCAGTTTTGGGGTTGTAATTCTGCCCTTCCTTTGTACACCTTATATTCTATGCACACATACACATATACCTCAGTCTCTAATAAGACTTGGACAGTGAACAGCTCTGTATTCTTTCAAAGGAGAGGAATAAAAGAATTGACAAGTCAAAGACCACCTTCCAGCGTTCTCTTTCCCTGCACGGATTGTCTGATTGCCTTCATTGTCCTGCTTGACCAGGGAAAGAAGAACAGTAAATTGCAGCCTTTACTGCCTGCTCTAAGACTATTGACCCTGTTTCTATTCCAAAGTGTGCCTAGCGATTAGATTGTCACACAAAATATGCAGTTCTGGATTCATTCTTACCAGGGTTGCCTGTCAAATGTTCATAGGAAGTTTTTTTTTTTTTAAAAAAAACTACTGAAGTCTAACTTGAGCAAAATAACCTGTACTTACTACTGAAACATGACATGACAGAGGAAGAAATTTGTCTTTTTTTTGGTTTTTGTTTCGCTGGGGGTGTGGTAAAGCATGCTCTGAAGTTACTGATATGCTCACTTGAATTGACTTTGTTTGAGATTATTAAAATAAGAACGAAGAAAATAAAAAAGAGCAAGATTACAAATCAAAGAAGTTGATTGGAGTTGAGCAAGTTCTGCATAGAAAAATGACATGTCAGGTTATGAACCTCTATTCTGAATGGATCTCAATTATTACCTGGCTTTTAATCTCAAAATCGTTATGTATGTTAACTTTTCTGAAAGTTTCTAAATTTCATCTTAATTTGTAAGAGTGGCATTATAGGAATAACCTCAAGTGAGAGCTGAAAACAGTTCTTGGAAACACAGAAGCTTGAATGTTTGCAGTGTCTGCCTCATCTTTCTCCAGATATTGTATACCAGAGTTATGTGCCTCAAAGTGGCAACTATTTTAGTTGGGAAACAAACAACATGCTCACTGTGTTAAACTTGGTAGGATTTCAGAGTATGTAACTTTGGCTGGATCATGCTCAGTGTTTATCACGATGTGGTTAAAAAGAAATGTTAGGAATCAATAGTATCAGCCTAGCCTTCCTCACCCCTGCCATTTCTGGAATTTATTGCTGCATAATTTTGAACATACAGTAAAAAGAGGTGCATCAATGGCTGAAATCTTGTAGAAATAAAAGCAAACCATGTGGTCATTACAAAATACAAATGCAAGAGTAGGTGGTACCCTTATTGACCCCTAAAAGATAATAAAATCTGCTAGTATTCACAGATCTAGGACCATCCACTTTGACAGGCATGTACTGATGTGAAGAACGTAAAGTCCAAGAGTTCTTGGCAGAATGGATTTTGTCAGCCACATCTTCCTTAGGTGTAGTTTATGAAAAAATGCGGGCAGCGTTAGAATTGTTGTTTGAAAGTTACAGCTGAGGCAGCTATGGATTTGATATTACACCCCAGTTCTTCAAACAAAGAAGCAATCTTGTAGTAAGCCACAACCAGAATAGGTCCGTTAGTCAGTGGAATTTACAAAGGAGTTGACTCACAAAATCCCGTGTGATTCAAAGGGCCTATTTACTTGTCATTTACTACTGATTTCAGCTGCATGGTTTTATACCAAAAGTTTATTTGTTCTTATTGCACATCATTCATAGAGAAGGCAACAACAAACCCCAGCACAACAAATGTTCCTTAACTCCAAATAATTGAAGCATAAATTCAGTAAAAAGTGATCACACGTCCAGATAAGCAGTCACTCTCTATATGCCACAGTGTCATATGCAGTTTCTGTCTATATGCTGCAGACTCAAATACTGAATTTGTTAGGATTCCGCTGACAAATGAGCATTGACTTTTGTTGTTGCTTTTGATGTGTTTGGCAGTTTAGCATATAGCTATGTTAGACCCACTGACATGTGTTCCTCATGCCGGCTTTAAGAGATTGCTGGTTTACATAGTAACCTTAATCACTGCCATTCGAAGAGTATGTGTCTTACTCTGAGGATATGTCATTTCATAAAAGTATTAGTGGGGTGTGCTGCAGATTTGTCTGTATCACCAAAGCAAGGCTTTGTTTTCCCATTGTTTTCGGATCAGAAAAATTGTAAAATTCAGACAGCAAGATAAAAATCGCATGTTCTCGAGCATTTTTCTGAAAAGAAGATCCAGCAGCTGAGTATCATTTTCCCAGGCCAAGAATAAATTTAATAAATTTAATAGAGTGGCTAATACGTATGTATACTTTACACCACCTTTCCCAATACACTCCAACATATCTGGGAGGTGCCAGGTTCTGCAAGGTTGTGTTACAATATCACCAATATCTAGCCCTTAATTGTCTGTTTTCCTGGTTACGCTCCAGCCTCTTGGGTGCAAATGTTTTCCAGCCCTATTGGCTACAGACTTTAACTGGATATTACGTGTGGAAAAATGTGAATGTGGGAGAAAGTGAAACTGACAGATTTGTTCATCTGTATTGGAGATATCAAAATTGGGGGCCTTCTGTGTGTGGTACCTGTACTCTTTCCCCTAAACGATCAGCTAGGCTCCTACAAATGTTTTCATGTTACATCCCAAGTAACTTGGTATTGTTGCTGTTGGTGTCCTAAACTCTGCCCACTTAGAATGAATTACATGCACATAAGTACACCACCGTCCTACAGTATTGGCTTCCCTATACAGAGCATATAATGATATTATGCTCATGTAGAGAGAGGAGCATGAATTGCTAAGAATATTGCAGGAGTGGTTGTAGGAATATGTCAAGCCAAAACCACTTTAGGCAATGTACGGAGCACGTATTACAGGGCAATTTTACAGCCCTGCCTGGTTTAACTATTGGGGAGATTGTACAGCATTTCCTTCTACTTCTTATTCAGTCGTAGCCGGAAGTAGCTGGATTACGTTATCTTTCCATGGTTGTTTTGGATAGTTACAGAAGTGCTCAAGAAACAGTATGTGATCTGGGAGTTGGATTCTGATATACTCTGTGCCTTTGTAAAAAATCCCAAGACATGTTTTTTGTACTGTGCAATAAATTGCCTTAGGTCAGCTACTTGATCATATTTTGTCTGAGACATGGAACACACATGCTGTTCTCCTGAAGTAATGCCAATGTTTGTGTGTCGTTCCATGTTCCAGAACAGTCACTAGGCCGATTGGGAAGAAACTGTATGTCCCATAAGGAAAGGACATACCAAGGAGGGCAACAGGTGCTAAACTAGAAGAGAAAGGAGGACAGAGAGTAGAGAGGGAGAGTGCCAACGATATTTGCATGCTGGCATGCTCAGAGATGGCTTCGTAGACCTAGAAATCAGTTTTGCTGGCCTCCATGCTTTTCTCACTTCTCCAGTTCCCTATTTTCAAAAGGGGAGCAGAAGTAACCTACCTTCAAAGATTGTTCTGAGGATATGTTTTACCCTTATTGAGTTTTGGAGGAGGTTACTTGTAAAAAGAAAAAATAATAATGATGCCTGTAGGTTTGGCTGGATACCAGTTTTGTATTGGCTGGTATCTTGGCTGTTGAGAGGTAACCTGAAAATGAAGCTTGTGTAGAGTGGGAGACTCCATAAATGGAATGTGTCATTTATAGATACTTGGTCATTACTTGGCAAGTGCCCAGCTTTCTCATGCTATGGGAAAATTTTCAAAATCTGCTTATTATGAGGGTTGTGTAGTTTTGCTGTAGTAGCTTACTTTATGCTGTTTTAGAGCTAATAATTTTGGAGCTGCTTGGCAGATGAAGGCAAAAAGGCATGTTCAATGTGAGGTTTCATGTTACTACATTTCCTGCTGATTTTCTACCTCATTTTAGGTGCAGGTTAGATGCTATCTCAGATGCCCACACACCTGCCTCCTTTTTCGGTTGTTTCTGTTGGGGTTCTGGTTTTTAAAACAAAACAACACGTTGAAGTCTTTCTACTTACAGGTCTTCACTGTCTGCCAGTTATGTGTATGAGAAGCCATAGCCCTACTACTGGGTAGAGGGGACAGTTGCCTCAAGTAGCAGATCCCAGCTGTGAAGAAGGGAGTTTTTAGGCAGCAGTAGCAAACCGTTGGCAATTCTTTGCATTTGGGAGGTCAAATTATTTGTTCCAGGTGGCTTATCCTGCAACTCCTGAACTAGCCCTCTGCTCTCAGAATGCTGTTTTACAACTAGCTGTTGTTCCATAGATAGAATGTGGACCGCCATCTTGGTTTTTGTCTTAGGCAGCAAAACATCTTGGGTTGGTCCTTACAGATTTCACTCTGCATTTAAAAAGAAGTTGGTCTCATTGAAGTTGAAGGGGGGGGTTAGTTCTGATTAGAGATGCATTAGATTGTTGTGCCAGAGGTGTAGTATTACACTAGATGTTAACTGGGAGAGAGAGAGAGAGAAGAGGAAGAGTTGAGGGTTGCCATTTTTGGGTGTTTCTCCAAGGATATTCTAGATGTTTAACCAAGAGATCAGAAGCAGTGGCTTGCCCTCCTCATTTTAAAAGGCTTTTGCACTTCATGGAATATGTGTAAAAAAAACAACAGTCAGTAACTGTTCCCAGAACGGAGGGATGGTTTAGAAGGCAAAGGTCATCTTGCCTGCTTTTAGGCAGGCTAGCATGCATGCAGGTACACACACACACACACACACACACACAGTTGTTCATCCCTGTGCCAAGGTTTTTGACAGAAGTCAGCATTTTCTTCCCCAAAATGAAGTTAACTGTGACCTACTGAATGGTGTAAGTGAGTTAAGTGAGCTATAATTCTGCTTACCCCCCGTTGTTGTTGTTCCCAGTTTCCTCTAATTAATGAACACATTTCTGTATTTCTTCCCCACCCTCTTTTCTTTTTCTTTTTCCTCTACAGTGCGCTGCTCTGGTTGGTGAAGACCAGCCTCTTTGCCCAGATCTTCCAGAACTTGACCTTTCTGAATTAGATGTGAATGATTTGGATGCAGACAGCTTCTTGGGTGGACTCAAGTGGTATAGCGACCAATCAGAAATAATTTCCAATCAGTATGCCAATGAATCGACAAACATATTCGAGGTAAAGAAAGACTGTGCTTTACAAGCATCCTTTTTTTAAAAAGGCCATGGATGATGGGCTTGAACTGCTTGATCTCTAATGCTGTAGTGCTTTTGACCCCCCCCCCCCCAGTTTCTTGTATACAGCCTTTAATTATTAGGTACTAATCCTGCAAAGCCATGTTGAAAAATAATAATAATCAAACATTCCAGATACTAGTATCAATAGTAGTACAGATCAAGTGTTTTAGGGATGTCAGCATTAGATTTCTAAAATATTAGCCCATTCAATATATCTCTGAAAGAATTGATTAATGGAATTTGTTTATGGCTGGTGCTGGGCTACATTCCGATAGAAAAGATCTGTAAGTTAGTAGAATCTAGTACGTTGTTATCAGAGCAGGGCAGAAGTAGATGTTTTTACTCAATATTGAGTAAGCAGTAGAATATGGATTTACTTTTCAGATTAATAAAGCAGTGATTGGTTAACAGATGCAGGATGATGTGATGTTATAGCTGTGGTTAGAATTTTTTGTATACAGGGCAGTAGCTCAGTGTGTCATATTATTGTGTTTCCCTGAAAATAAGTCAGGGTCTTATATTATTTTTTGCTCCTAAAATGCATTAGGGCTTATTTTCAGGGGATGTTTTATTTTTCAGTCATGTCATCTTCTGGTTGCTACACAATGCTGCACAATGGTGGAGGACAGGGTTTCACTTAACTGGGGCTTATTTTTGGGGTAGGGCTTATATTACGAGCATCCTGAAAAAGCATACTAGGTCTTATTTTCAGGTTAGGTCTTATTTTCCGGGAAACAGGGTAGTAGTTTACTAGTTTTGGTGTAACATTACTGTAGTCACAATCTTGTGCACTTTAAACTAAGCACACGACAGCTCCTGATAGCACAGGATAAACTAATCTCACAAATTGTCCCTGCTCCGCCAAGAGTTCTCAGTCCCACCAATCGTGGAGTGGCATGCTGATGCTTCTCCTTCATCAGCCAGGCACAGAAGATGCACACCTGTTATGCCATCACCCTGGCCTACCCGTAAACATACAAAGCAACAATGATGCCACTGGGGTCTCAATTCAAGACAGAAGCCAAGGTGCTTCGGAGTTCCATGCATGCAAAGACTTTAATCCTGTTCCATGACTTGCACAATTTTGATTGTCCAGTACACAGTTCCACAAAAGACCCAGACAAAAGACCCTTTCTCAGTTTTGCACTGGCAGACTTGTGCAAGCAGTCAGCATACATCAGCATAACTTTATATGGGCAGGGTGCAGAGCTCACATCAATGTAGATTCCTTGGTGGTACTGGTGCAAAGTATACTAGTGCAGTCACTTAAATGAAATCATAGAGTGATCTAATGGTCCGCTTGGAACAGAGGGTGGTACTGCTAAATATGAAAACACTCTGTTACCATTCTGATGCAACTAATCTTGTGTGGAAATGCCATTTCAGAAAACACTAATAGTTGAACTGGGATGTTCTGTATAATTTGTCAGTGAAACACAATCAAGGCCAACTTATCCAACATTTGTCTGAAGTATTTTTCTCCTCCTCCTGCTCTGAAATGACTCTCAATACAGCTTACCTAAGATCAATAGGCTTGCAGACTAAAGGATACAACACAGCAGGGAAAGAGTTAAGGAGGGAAGAGAATCACTCAAGCTCCAACATATATTCTTAAAGGAATTCTTAAAATTATTATTGTAATGATTAGCTGGAATGAAAGAGGGGTAGTGGAGTAGCTCTGCTTTCCTGTCCTCCCTCTCCAGCGGTCAGGTGGAATCACTGCTTCCAGGGGGCAGGTGAGGGAGTAGACTGATGGGGCTGGTATTTCAGCAGAACCAAGAGAGGGACCCTGCTTCTCCTTGCTGTTACACATGAGCCAATACAGCCCTGCTTCTAATAATAAACTGTCAGTCTATCTTACGTGGGGTTGGTGAATTCTTTTTTCTTCTTTTTTTAGAACGCTTTTTTTATTTTACTTTTTTTTTCTCCTGGACTTTTAGTGAAAGGGTCATGTTGTTCTATGGTGTGATAATGAAATATGGTCTCTACCTGAGCTGATGGAACTGGTCTTTGAAACTGTATTGGGCAGTCATTATTTATTATCTGTAATGTTGAACACCACTGTTAGTACTATCTAGGAATGAACAGTGAAAGTTTCCTGAGTGTCTTGTGTTTTGGTAATCAATGAAAACTTTCAGTAGTCAGTTGTGATAGCTCTGCAGTCTTTTGCTAATGAGAATGTCTGCAATTTTCCATGTCTCGTATTTGCTTGGAAACCTTCCAATTTATGCAGCCTAATGATTTGGAGAGATTGCCTGAATAAGTGAGGCCACTGATGCATGCTTCCTTCTCCTGGCTATAGAGCGAAAGGGCTTTCCCATGAGTAGTTATGGAGGTAAATGTTCTTGTGGCTTCAGTATGTGTCTCATTAGTATACAGTAGTGGTCTAGTGACAAGCTGCCATGGAGAACATGGGTTGTCTAGAATTTGTGTTCTAATTCCTATTGGGTAATCTAGAATATTTACTAGTCAGTTTTTCAGCAAAGATTGTTTTGGTTTCTTTGGTGGGCGAACTGTACTGTAAGATGGTTGTAGATTCTCCTGAGCCACTGCTGAACTGGGATGATAGTGTTTTTGCAGTGATCCTGGTGCTTCATGGAATACATATCCTGGACAGTGACACTTGAACACTGCTGTTACATTGTGTAACGTAACATTGTGTAACATGGGTGACATCTTGGTTTTTTTGTGTGGCTTAATATATAAGTGCACCAAAACCTGGTATAAACCGGACCTTCAGGATACAGCGTTACCAATATGTTGATGAAAAATTATCTTTATTGTTTTCACCAAATACTTTTCTTGCCTGTGGTGATTGTGACTGAATGATTGGCACTTTGTGAAAACATTCACTGTTTGGCACTGTATTTATGGACTGTGTGAAACTAAATGAATTACAACTTTGTAGACCTGAGACAAAGGTGTGGCTCTTGGAGTGGGCATTTAGCACTTTCTAGGTGAGTTTGCCCCTCCCTCTGGTGTTTCACTTCACAGGTTGCTCAAGGCTCTTGTAGGCCTAGATGTTGGCAGAGGCGCGGGAGCTCACTTTACCAGTCGTGATTAGTTTGATAGCCATGATCCTGCCTCTGCGAAAAAGTCTACTCATGCCTTGGTAGACTACTGCAATGCACTTTGTGTTAAGCTATCTTTTTGAAATAGCCATCCACAAACTGCAACTGGTCTATACTGCAGCACGAGCAAAGCATGTTTCATGGCGTAGCCAACTCCAATTTCAAGCCCACTGCATTGACTCTAGAGAAAGGTTCACATGTGTCACGTACCCCCCAGTGATCCCTGTATGTTTTCTCACTCACACAGGTCCACCTTTGGACACAACTTTTTCTTTACCCCTTTTTCGCTGCCACCAGAGGATATTATCCTCACTATATCAATTATGAGTCTCACATTCTTGCTGCCAAATAAAACAAGGTTTATTTAAGGATAAATAAGTGAATTACAGAGGGAAAATCATGGATGTTCTATTATAATTCATTCATTCAACACGGATTTGATTACTTATAAGCTTGCTTATACTCATTTACTTTAATCAAGATCTCAGTTTTTTCTGACTGTCAATGTACTTCTAATTCCTTTTAACTCTTTAATATTCTTTAACTAACCAACTGTCCAAAATCTAGTCTAAACGCTTCACCATCTTCACCCTAACTCACCCTCTGTCTTTCTCTAACTGCCTCTCTGACACACACAGTTCTGTTGACTCCGCCCCTCCTGTTCTGTCATAGGCTCCTGCCCTAGAGCTCTAAAATGACTGACAGGAGTGATGTGTGGGCTGTCCACCACAACATGTCTCCCTCATCAGCTTAAACTTATGAAAATTCCACTGCATGCAAATTTGGGATACCAAAAAAAAGGCAAGTTATAATGTATTAAATGTAGGGACCATAATTACGTGCGTAGCAGCAATTAATTCATAAGATTCATTATGACAGATTTTGTTTGGTTGGTTAGGAGTGAGCTAAAATATGAGGCCACAACATGGCATACATTTTTTGGTGGACTGTGAAATTGACTCTCTTTTCTTAATTTTTTGTGGGGCGAAGGAGGCTATGGGCATGGTGAATGTAACATGTTGTCTGAGGTAGGTTGGAAAAGGGGGAGCTTTTCTGAAACACAGAGACATTCCACCTTTTCTGGTGCTTTCCTAGAATTTGAGTAGAAGTGACAGCTTGATTCTGCTGCTTTGGTCAAGGAGAAGCAGAATGGAGATACAGTAGGTTTTCTGGGGGTGGAGGGGATGTTTTGTGCCCTGCTATTAAATGGCGACTCAGTCATGAATTAAGGGGAAGGAATACATTCCTATAATTCTTATACTGATCACTTACTTGCTGGATCCTTCTTGTAATGGCAGTAGAAGGCAAGGTGCTTAATGTAAGAAAAAAAGACTTCATTGGATTTACAGTGGTACCTCGACATAAGAACTTAATCTGTATTGGGACTGCGTTCTTAAGTCGAAATGTTCTTAAGTCGAAGCACCATTTCCCATAGGAATGCATTGAAAACCATTTAATCCGTATCTGCTATTTTCCGTTCTTAAGTTGAGGCACTGTTCTTAAGTTGAAGCATTAGTTCCCATAGGAACTAATGCAAAGTCGGTTAAACCGTATCTACCACTATGGGGCAATTTTTTCTTCTTCTTTTGGCCTAAGGTGAACTTAAGTCAAAAAAAGGGCAGGAAATGTTTGTTTTCTTTTTCTTTTTGGCTCTTAAGTCGAGGCTCTGTTCTCAAGTCGAAGCAACTTTTTGCGAATGGAGCTGTTCTTAATTCGAATTGTTCTTATGTAGGGATGTTCTCAATTCGAGGTACCACTGTATCACTCTATGAAAGTAGCACTAGTGAAGACCTATTGCAAGATAGTAAGCACCTAGCTTCAAGAATTCACACATTTGTGATCCTAATTGAGATTCTTAAGAAATAAAACA